GATCTTTTTACCTTGCAACTTTTAACATTCTTTGTTCTTTACGTTTAGTATTTTGATTATTATATGCCGAGGGGGGGACTTTCTTTTCTGGTTCAATCTTTTTGGTGTTCTGTATGCTTCTTGTACCTTTATAGGCATTGAGCTGTGTTTCTTCTCCTCCTTCCTCTATACCTATTATTCTTAGATTTGGTCTTTTTGTAGTGTACCAGGTATGTCCCAGAAGCATTCCTGAATGTTTTGTGTCAGGAGTTTTTTAGATTTAACGTTTTCTTTGACTGATTATCCATTTTTTCTACAGTTTCTTCAACACCTGAGGTTTTTTTCTTCCATCTCTTAAATTTTATTGGTGAAGCTTGCCTCTGTAATTCCTCTTTGAATTCCTTATTCTTTTATTTCCAGAATTCCCTCGGTTTGGGTTTTCTTTATTGATTCCATTTCCACTTTCAGGTCTTGAACAGTTTTATTCATTTCTTCCCAATTGTTTTTTTTTTTTTTTTGGTTTGGTTTGGTTTTGGTTTGTTCTTTATTTTTTGTTTTGTTATTATTATTGTTGCTGGTGGTGGTGGTGGTGGTGGTGGTGGTGGTGGTGGTGGTGGTTTTGAACTGTCCTAGATTTCATTAAGGCATATATTCATTTTCTCTTTAAGAACCTCTATCATATTCATAAAGTTGGTTTTAAGGTCTTTTTCTTGTGCTTCTGCTATGTTGAAATATTCCAAGCCTGCTGTGGTAGGGTTGCTGGGTTCTAGTGGAGACATATTGTCCTGGCTGATACTGATTGTGCTTTTATGTGGGAATTTAGGCATCTGTCACTGGGAAGATTAAAGTTCTAAGTGCTGATATCTGGCTTTGTCTTTGTTGAGGAGGTGTTTTGTTCCTTTTCTGTTTCCTTTCTGGAATTTAGGACAATGTGGTTGCTGTGTGTTTCCTGGTAGGAAATTTTCTGTGGATTTGATAAATGTGGCCACTGGAGGTTCCAGGTAAAATGCATTTCTGGGTATTGGGAGCTATCACTTAGGTATGCACAGGAGACTACTTCCTAAACATAACACCAGCAGTGCAGACACTGAGATCAACAATAAATGGGACCTCTTGAAATTGAAAAGCTTCTGTAAGGCAAAGAACATGGTAAATAAGACAAAACAACAGCCTACTGAATGGAAAGAGATCTCCACCAACCCCACATCTGATAGAGGGCTAATCTCCAAAATATATAAAGAACTCAAGAAACTAGACATGAAAATACCAAATAATCCAATTAAAAATGGAGTACAGAGCTAAACAGAGAATTTTCAACAGAAGAATCTCAAATGGCTGAGAGACATCTAAGAAATTGCTCAACATCCTTAGTCATCAGAGAAATGCAAATCAAAACGGCTCTGAGATACCATCTTACACCTGTCACAATGGCTAAGATAAAAAACACTAATGACAGCTTATGTTGGAGAGGATGTGGAGTAAGGGGAACACTACTCCACTACTGGTGGGAGTGCAAACTTGAACAGACACTTTGGAAATCAGTATAGTGGTTTCTTAGAAAATTGGAAATCAATCTACCTCAAGCCCCAGTGATACTGCTCTTGGGCATATGCCCAAAGGATGTTCACTCATACCCCAAGGACACTTGCTCAACTATGTTCATAGCAGCATTATTCATAATAGCCAGAACTTGGAAACAACCTAGATGCCCCTCAACCAAAGAATGGATAAAGAAAATGTGGTACATTTACACAGTGGATTATTACTCAGCAGTAAAAAAACAATGACAACATGAAATTTGCAGGCAAATGGATGGAACTAGAAAAAAAATCACCCTGAGTGAAGTAACCCAGACCCAGAAAGACAAACACGGTATGTACTCACTCATAAGTGGATATTAGATTTAAAGTAAAGGTTAACCAGGCTACAATCCATAGCCCTAGAGAAACTACATCCCTCAGAGAGATGTATGGATCACTCTGGGAAGGGGAAATAGATGAAATCTCCTGGGTAAACTGGCGGGGGGTGGGCAGCAAAGCATAGGGGATGAGGCATGGAAACATGAGGGATTAGGATGGCCAAGTTGGGGGAGGGAGAGAGGGAGAGCAACTAAAGCAATATTGGATCGAGGGGGCCATGGTGGGGTTAGGAAGAAACCTAGTGCCAGGGAAACTCCCAAGAATCCACAAGGATGGCCCCAGCTAAGACTCCTAGCAATAGTGGACAGGGTACCTGAACTAACCTTCACCTATAATCAGATTGGTGACTACCCTAATTGTCATCATAGAACCTTCATTCAGTAACTGATGGAAACAGATACAGAGATCCACAGCTAGGCACTGGGCAGAGCTCTGGGAGTCCAGCAGAAGAGAGGGAGGAGGGATTATATAAGCAAGACAGGGGATCAAGATCATGACGAAGAAACCCACAGAGACAGCTTTCCCGAGCTCATGAGAGCTCACAGACTCTAGACCAACAGCTTGGGAGCTTGCATGGGACCACCCTAGGCCTTCTGTATATGGGTGACAGTTCTGTAGCTTGGGCTGTTTGTGGGACTCCTAGCAGTGGGACCAGAATCTATCCCTGGAGCATGAGCTGGCTTTTGGAACCTATTCCCTATGGTGGGAATCCTCACTCAGCCTTGATGCAGAGGGGAGGAGCTTGGTCCTATCTCAACTTGATATGTCATGCTTTGTTGACTCCCATAGTAGGCCCTACCCTCTTTGAGGAGTGGAGGGGGGGTGTAGAAAGGAGGTGGGGGAGGGAACAGGAGGAGAGGAGGAGGAGAAATTGTGGTTGATATATAAAATAAATTTAAAAATTAATAAAAAAAAATAAATGGCAGAAAACATGAGCCTCTCTTACCTTAAGAGAGGGGTGGTTCCAGAAAAATGAAGGCTGCTTTTTCAGATGTCAGCAGGATACAATACAAAGTACATGAGAACTGAAACCCCCAGAGTAGACTAGAAAAGAGGAAGTCGTGAAACTGTGAAAGAAAGGGAGAGTGTCTAGGGAGAAGTTACACTCCAGCTTTCCTAAAATTAGCTAAGCACTCTCCCTCTTCCCTAGAACTCCCCACATATCACTAATAACAGAAGCACCACACTTCCATGCAGCAGAACAGGAGCCACTGTGGAGGGAAGACTCCCAGAAGAGAAAGATTTTCTTCTTTGGCTACAGGAGATGAAAAATAACTCTTCCTGAAAACTTGAAGCTGTCTCCCTCTGTTTCCTTTCTCAAAGGTAAGGAACGCTGTCCTAACACCAGAGAATTTTCTGGACAAGGCAGATGAGCTGTTAGTGACATTGGCAGGGGAGAAAGAAACTACAAAACATCTGCCTCTTCAGAGAGCCAAAGGTTGGGGCCAGAGGCGACCAGGTCAAGCCTGAGGACAGCAAGCTAAGGTTAGCCACAGTTTAAGTGACCAGCTGAGACGTGGTAGTTCCTGGACAATCTTTTATGTTTCTCAGGGTTATAGTATCAAATCTGATGTCTTGAGACAGAAGTTACTATCTATCCCAGACTTCTACAGTGCCAGGGTCTCAGTACCAAGGCCACTGTGTCTCCTTGATCTGAGATCTATTCCAATCCCCTGACTTCATCTGAAATAAACTAAAATGAAAAAGGAAGCTTGAATCAGTAGGGTACACTATTTGACACTTCAGGGCTAAAATAAATAAATAAATGGATAAATGAATAAAGAAAGAGAAAGAAAGAAAGAAAGAAAGAAAGAAAGAGAGAGAGAGAGAGAGAAAGAAAGAAAGAAAGAAAGAAAGAAAGAAAGAAAGAAAGAAAGAAAGAAAGAAAGAAAGAAATTTTTTTAAAAAAATAACTTTTAAAAAGTGGCAAGACAAGCCATAGGGTAGAAAGATGGAGATCAGCTCAACCAAGTGCATCTACAATGAGGTCATGCCATTTAGATGGTGAAGTCCCAGCCTCTTCTGCTCTGGCCTCCTCTGAACTTCCCTGAAATCTGAGACCCAGTAGCTTGAGAGAGAGAGGGCAATAGAAAAAAGATGCCTCAATGCCTCCAGAGGCAGTGTGTTATCACACAGGAGAAATAGTAGCCAGGGGAAAGCAGAGACATCCGTGGCATTTAGTGCCAAATCCTCTGCCCAAGGGCATGAGTTACTGAGTAGGTCAATGCCCTTCGCATGTGACTAACTGGTGTCCCCAGAGTGGCAGGCTACTCTCCTATCTCTTCCAGACCTTTCGGGGACTTTCATGACCATTCATTTCACAATAGTCACTCCAAAGTCTTCCCATGAGAGAAGAGCTATAAAGGATGAGAAAGCAGTCAGCTCACCATCACACCATCCTGTATCCCCAGTACTAGGCTCTAAGCTCAAAAGTATCAAGACATTAATTATTTCCTTTTGTTTAATTTCATTAGCCCACTCATTTATTTCTTTAAGTATTTTTCCTGAACTGTTTTGAATACTTTCTTCTTAAACTCAACCCTAGAATCCACTTGAAATGTTTCCTTAGTTCTGGCTGAGGACCTTTATACCAGACTATTAACCCTGGTAGGAAAAATACGAAACTCAAATCTGGCGCTTTCTACTTCTTTTAACTAAGGCAAATAATTTAGCATCATGGCCTCAAGAATAAAGGACAACAGTCCACCTATGTCACATGGCTAAGAGTTTTGTTCAGATAGAAAGGTGTCAGTAGTACTGGTCCCTCTTTCAGTGTACTCTCTATTGAACAAATCTGTTTCCTGCCTTGTTTTGGATGGTGGCTTCCTCCAATAACTTTAGCAGTCTGAGCCAGTTATCCCCAGCAGGAAGATCAGACCATCATAGGCTTCTCTGGCCCTCCTGCTGCCCTGTGATTTGGTCTCCTCTGATTTCCTACCTGTTTGTCATATATTAGTGGGCACAACTTGAGTCTCATTTCTTGACTATAGGGGTGTTCCCAATATTTCCTTAAATCCAAAGGATATAATGTGTATTAGAAGCCCCGGGATGGGATTGCTCATCACTTTAAGGGTTGGTACCCAATTCTTTCCCTCTCTTTTCCTAGAATCAATGCCAACGATGGAAAGACCTCAGTTCTGCTCCGTTTTCCTCATTCTGATACTATTGGCTTTGGTGAGCCTTGACTTGACCAGCAGGGCATGGACTGCCCCTGACTGCCTCATAGCAGACAGTTTGCTATTTCCTAACCTTTCCTACTATATCCAATTCTGTACATTGGCCCCAGGGCTGCACCTTTTGGCATCTTGCTCAAATGTTAAAGACATGGCTCCGACACTGGAAAGAGTGCCCAGAGATACAGAGGTGCTTTGCCTCCAGGGCATGGTTTCTACTCTGCCAGCTAATGCCTTTGATCGCTTCCACTCCCTACAGCTTCTGAGGCTGCAGTTGGGTACAGTCAGTATTACTTCTAGGACTTTCCAAGGACTGGACCAGCTACAGTACCTTTATTTTGAACATCATTCTCCTTGTTGCCTGAGTCTGTTCCTCCCTGAAAATTGTTTAGAGACTCTCAGATCCCTCAATAGTCTTTCCTTTCAGGGCTACTGCCTGAATTATAGCCAGAGCATCTCCTTGCCAACTAGTCTTAGGCGTCTAACTCTAAGGAACAGTTGTCTGACAAAGTTGCAGGAACTGCAAAGGCTCTTCCCGAGTCTTTTGCTTGGTTCCTCTCCTACACCCAGTACCAAACTAAGGGCGCCCTTCCTAGAAGTGCTGGATTTATCTTACAACCGTCAGTTGAAGCAGGCAGGTGTCAGAGCCTTGTATGGCCTCAAACTCCACTCCCTAATATTGGATGGTACCACACTAAGAACATTTGACCTCGCAGGCTCGGGACTGCTCCACTTGGACTTCCTCTCCCTTGTGGGTACAGGTATAGAAAAATTGCCTGGGAATGTCACAGGCTACTCTGAACTTCGTGCACTTGACCTTGGGAAGAACCAAATACAAAACATCTTGGAGAATGGAGATATCCCAAGTTACAAATCTCTAGAATTCCTTAGCCTTCACGATAACTATCTTCAGTCACTTCCCATCAGGTTCCTACGTACTCTACCTCAACTTCAAAGGCTCAACCTGTCTATGAATAAGCTGGGCCCAACCTTGGAGCTTCCAGAAGGAGTGTTTAGTGCAAATTTAAGAGTACTAGATCTGTCCCACAATCAGCTATGTGATGTACCCCATGGGGCCTTACTTCCACAACTCCAGGAGCTCTGGCTGAGTGGCAATAACATCTCTAGTTTATCCAATGAGAGCCTACAAGGATTGAGGTGGCTGAGGACTCTGGACTTGAGTTGGAACCAAATTAAAGTACTCAAACCAGGCTGGCTCTCTCATCTTCCTGCTCTGACCACCTTGAACCTTCTGGGTACCTACTTAGAGCATATCTCAGGCATACAACTTCAGGGTCCACAGATGCTGAGACATCTAAAACTGGGATCTGTTACAACACTGGACATCTATCCTCCCTGGTTTCCAATGCTGCTCAGCTTAGAAATACAAGCAGATGCATGTGTTCAGTTTATGGCTCTCAGTGGAGAGCCATTCTTATTCTTGGAGAATCTTACTTTACAGACTTCCAATGTGTTGCGGCAACCAGATACAACCACAATCCATTTTCCCTCCTTGCGTCGCCTCACCTTGCGTGGCTACAGCCTCCTGCTCTCAACCAGTCAACTTCAGAGATTCTTCCCACAACAGCTTCCGCTCCTGGAGCACTTCTCTATTTGGTGTGAAAATGACAATGCAGTAGACCTCCATCTATTTGGGATGCCCAGGCTGCGTGTGCTAGAGCTAGGGTACCTAAATTTTTTCTATGAGTCGAGTACTGCGAAGCTAGAGATGCTACTGAAGGAAGTGCCTCAGTTACAGGTGTTGGCATTGAGCCACCTGAATCTCAGAGACCTCTCTGTGACCAGCTTTGAAGGCCTGCGCCACCTCAAACTGCTGCTGCTTCACTCTGAGTTAGCCCTTGAGATGGACAGCCACCTCCAAGAGTTGATTCCTCAGATGCCTCCATATGTTTATTTCTCAGATGTCACCTTTACCTGCCAGTGTGAAACTTCCTGGGTGGAGTCTTGGGCTACACGGGCCCCAAACACTTTCATTTATGGACTGGAGAAATCCATCTGCATGGCCAATGCTTCTGACTACTCCAACACTCTACTGTTCTCCTTCCTTGCTACTCATTGCCCACGTGACACTGAGTTTGGGGGCTTTATCATCAGTTTCACCCTGGTGCTTCTGCTGATCAACCTTCCTCTGATTAGTTGTCACAAATGGTCCTGGCTTCATTACCTGCAGACACTGCTTCATGCTTGTTGGTGGAAATTGGGTGGACATAGACGCAGACGCCAATTCAACTATGATGTCTTTGTATCCTATTGTGAGAAGGACCAAGCTTGGGTGCTGGAAGAACTGGTTCCTGCTTTGGAGAAACCCCCTCCTGAAGGTGAGGGCTTGAGGTTGTGCCTGCCCACCAGGGACTTTGGGATTGGAAATGACAGGATGGAATCCATGATCGCCAGCATGAGCAAAAGCAGATCCACCCTCTGTGTGCTCACGAGGCAGGCCTTAGCAAGTCCCTGGTGCAATCTAGAGTTAAGACTGGCCACTTACCACTTGGTGGCCAGGCCAGGGACAGCTCGCCTCCTGCTGCTGTTTCTGGAGCCCCTCGATAGGCAGAATCTCCATAGCTATCACCGCCTCTCCCGATGGCTCCAAAAAGAGGACTATTTTGATTTGTCCCAAGGGAAAGTGGAGTGGGACACTTTCTGTGAGCAACTAAAGAGACAGCTCAGGAAAGCTGGACAGGAAAGAGAAGATTAAGGGCTGTGAGGAATGTTGCTATACGGAAGACCCTTCCAGCTGCATAATGAATGCTCTCTCATCACTGAAGGATGTGCTTGCTCACTAATGGGGGTGAAAGGATATGTTTTAAATGATATATTGAATCCCAGTGGGGAAAATGTCTTTTAAAACACTGGAAAACAGTCATTCAGAAAACAGTTCTGTTTTGTGCCAGTTAATTTCAATACCAGATACTGCTCAACACACACCACACATATACACAATGGTTTGTGCATTTTTTTCAAAATGAATCCATTCTGTCACTACTAAATGCAAAATATTCACTTGTTTTTGTTTTGTGTGTGTGTGTGTGTGAGAGAGAGAGAGAGAGAGAGAGAGAGAGAGAGAGAGAGAGAGAAGCTGTGCAATTCTAGCAGAATAGTTAGGGAATCAATGAGTCATTTTTAAGTTGAAATGGTACTTTTAGTTCATCAAATGTTCAATAGTCAGTTCCTCTAACTCAAGTTTCTCATACGCATGGAATTTCGTTACTGAGATTTGTTGTTTTTAAACCTGTATTATTCATGGGGAAATGAAATCTGAAGAGACTCAGTGAGTGACTTACAGCCCTGGCTCAGCTCACGCATCTGGGATGGCACATCTGTTCTTCTATTCTCCGTTTAGATCGCACTTGAGCCTCTAACAAATGGCAAACCATGGGGCATACTCATTTTCTCGCAGATTCAAAAAACTTTGCTAAAATTATAAGTTCCAAATAGATGTACAGCAGCAAAAATGGAATGTCATAGGCCAACTACAGCCCATGCTTCAGGCATGAATGTGACAAGACGTTATTACATAAATAAAAGTGTCATGCTTCAGAGGTATTTAGTACGAGGGCAAAAGACTTCACCTATTAGCACAACATTAAATGACACTGTTGACAAATGGCACATTAGTCCAGATTTGAAAGCTGGCTGTGTACATATACGAAATGGATAAAAATGAAATGTGAAGAAAGAGAAGACTGGAAATGCAGACCATAAAGGGACCCTGAATAACACTGATGTTATTGACACTTCCTTGTACTTCTCTGCTAGGTCTTAATAAGCATGTATCATTTTTATGGTAACAATAAATTATCTTTCAAAACTAATAAAACACTTAGAGTCAGCAAGATGGCTTGGCAAGTAGAGACACTTGCCACCAAGCCTGATGACCTGAGTGCGATCCCTGGGACCCATATGACAGAAGGAGATGATCTACTATTGTGAGCTCTCCTCTGACCTCTACATGCACACCATGGCATGCAGGTCTACACACACACACACACACACACACACACACACACACACAAACACACACACTAAATAAATAAATAAATATAATAAAAATTTTACAGCAACTCTTTAAAAAAGAATGCTTTATTCATTTATTTATTTATTTATTTATTTATTTATTTATTTTTGGTTTTTCAAGACAGGGTTTCTCTGTGTAGCTTTGGAGCCTGTCCTGGATCTCGCTCTGTAGACCAGGCTGGCCTCGAACTCACAGACTCACAGAGATCCGCCTGCCTCTGCCTCTGCCTCCCGAGCACTGGGATTAAAGGCATGCACCACCACTGCCCAGCTTTAAAAAAAAGAATGCTTTAACATAAACTAGCTAGTTTAACTAATTTTCTACTTTCTGTTGGCATATGAGTATATTTTACACCTGGATATCAAAACATTTATAAAGCTATAATAATTCAAGAAAAGCACTGTGTACAGAATTAATATGAAGTACTAGGAGACATCAAACAGCCAGCTTGAGAACTGCCACTTGTCCGTCCTTAAATGTGTGGTGGGATCCAGCAATAAAGGGAGGCAGCCCTGAGCTTCTCTTTCTAGGACAACATTGATTTCCTGTTAATTATTACCAATCTACTCAGAAGAGTACAACCTCTAGGATCAATTTTTGTAGGCCATTTGTGTTCATAAATTTTTCCATTTCTTGTAGATATTCCAAGCTGTTAAAATAGAATTCTTCAACAAAATCGCAGTGGTGTTCCTGTGAGTTTCAGGGACATCTGCTGTAACCATCAATTTTCAATCCTGATTTTATTTGTTTTGGTTTTCTGTCTTCCCCTTCCACTGTTCTAGACAAACATGTGCTAAGGTTCTTTACCCAGATGCCGATTTCTCATTAGTCTTTTGTATTATTCTTTTATACTCATTTATTTATCTGTACTCCAATGTTCTTCCCTTTTTACCTTTATATGGTGTAATTTTTTCCTTGCTTTTCTCAGTTTCTAAGATGCATCATGGGATTGTTCATTTTAAGTTTTCTATTTTTTATGTTCTTACTCACTGCCATAGTTCCAGCATCTCACAGGTTTTGATTTATTAAATTTCAGTTCTCACTGGTGTCTATGAACTTTTACTCCTCTCTTCTGAGAGCCTAAATGATCCAATGTTTGTTTAAAGGTGTGCTGCAAAGGGTCTATTTCAGTGAGTTCTAAAGTTTCTCTTGCTATGATTCTTTTCATTCTGTAGTGATAAGAAAAAGAAACAAGTTATAGCTGCAATGTTTTAAACATGTTAATATTTATTTTGTAGCCAACTAGAGTATATGTTGTACTCTAGAGAAATTTTTATATTAATGAAAAGAATGTACATTGTCAGAATGTTCTGTAAATGCCTGTTAAGTTTGACTGATCTATGGCATAATTTAACTAGTACTTCTTGTTGACATCTTTGGATGATCAGTCTGTGAGGAGAATAGAACACTGGCATCTCCCATGTTACCATATTGGAGCCAATCTTAGCATGTAGGTATAACAAATTTCATGGAATTGAGTGTTACATTTGGGGTATATATAGACATATTCAATATCATTCTTCTTAATGAATTATTCCCTTGATCATTATACACAGACCTTCTTTGTTTCTTCTTACTGTTTTTGTCAGGCCTAAGTACAGCTATTTCTACTCACTTTAGAATTCTGCTTACATGTAATAGTTTTCTATACTTTCACTTTCAGAGATATGTGTCTTTACTGCCAAAGTTAAGTTTCCTGTAGGCAACACATTGTTATTTCTTAAATTCATTCAACCTGTGTGTGTGTGTGTGTGTGTGTGTGTGTGTGTGTGTGTGTGTGTGTGTGTGTGTTTGAAACAGTGTTTCCTTTAGCCTAGGTTGACCACCATCTTACCTTTAGCCTTTCATCTTGTAGCCTTTAATCCTTGATTCTGTTTCTTCTACCTTCCAAGTTCTGGTATTACATGCACCGATACACCCAGCTAATGTACGGATTTTAATTGGAAAAATACATTAAGAGATTTATTTTCGTTTTTTTACTGAGAAATAATCTTACACCGTGTATTTTGATCATGTTTTCCCCTCATCCTCTAAGTGCTGGAACTCTGACTGCCTTGAATCTTCATAGAGCCATCATCCCTATGAGTTCATACATGCATCAGTTTTTAAGCTTCCAAAATATGTACTATACTCCAAATAACCACATAGGTTAGGTACCTAATAAGGGACTTAGGGAAAAACAAAGTCTCTCAAGGAAGGGGAAATAGAATACAGTGTTATGGAGGCACAAAGGGGAAACTAGCAGGATTAAGCAGGGGGGTGGGTGGGAGAGAAGGATAAAGGAGATGATAATGTTAAGGACAACTAACACTAAAAGACATTCAGAAAACTATATGGAATGCTACTACTGTAGAAGCTTCCTAAAACATACACATGTAAAAGAAATCTAAATTGAGTCATCAAACAGTAGGAGAGACAGTGCCCCCACTAGACATCTTATGCCACCAATCCCTAGTGCCATGTATTCATTACATCTTGTTCAGTTGTTGGCCAAATGGGTCCCATGGACCAGCTCCCTAAAATATCATGGACTGTTTCCAAGGCTATTGGTTACTCTCCATATCTGGACAGTAAGGCCCTATTGCTGAAGACACATCTTACTTATAACCTCCAACATGGAGAAATGGGTCCCATAGACACCCATCCTGAAACATCACAGGCTACTGACAAGGCTATTGGTTACCTTCCACAACCTGAAGGTAGTTAGGAGCCTGTTGTTGATGATACCACTTACTTCATTAAACACAGAGACATGAAGCTGTTGTTCATTGGAGTAATTATTTGCATGTAACCAACCACTTTTTTTCTTACTTAATTTAAATCCCATTCAATGAGATGAAAGACAGACAATAGTGCTAAAATTGTCAAGAACTTGATACTGTATAAGTCATAGGACTGGAAGAAAAACTACTATTATTTTACTAAAGGAACATAGAACTGCAATGACCCCTATTAACATATTGCTGTATCCATAGATTGGGCAATCCTCATCAGAGAACCTTTTACTTGCAGTATATGGGAATTAACACAAAGATCCACAACTGGACAGTGTGAAGAGAGTGAGAAACTTTGGAGTGCTCAGCATAAAATGGGACAACTTAATCAACCCCTTCCCCTTGGAGCTCAAGGATCTATGTGGAAGAGCAAGCAAAAAGATTCTAAGAGCCAGAAGTGGTGGGTGACTCCAAGGAAACAGTGTCTTCCAGATTCAACAGAATGCATGCACACATGAATTCACAGAGACTGTGACAGGGTGACAAGATCTTTACCAATTCAAACCAAACAATCAACCCCCCACCCCTGAAGGCTCAGGGATCTGTATAGAAGAGAAGGCAAAAGATTGTAAAAGCCAGAGGTGGTGGATATCTCTAAGAAAATTGTATCTTCCAGATACAACAGGATAGACACACATACAAACTCACAGAAACTATGACAACAGGCACAAATTCAACCAGACAAAATCCCAGCACTAAGGACAGAAAGTGGACACAGAGTCCCACACCTAACCAAGATGTTTGCAATGGATACTTACTAAGGAAGGGAAAATCAGTTTTCTCCAATCAACTGTCACTGTATATCTCAAACCCCCTCCAGTAAGGATCTCATTTCCAGGAATAATTGGCCAACACACACACACAAAAAAAAAAAAATCCAAATTTTTTTTATTTGTGTATGAGCTT